GAAATTTAATAGCTTTCGCTGCCATAAAATCTTCAAAAATCCCTTCTACATCCTCATTGTCAAATGAGTATTTCTTTTCCCTCTTTTCTTGAAGAGTTAAAGGCTTGGAGACATCTTTCCCTTTACCTGAATCCTTCTTCTTAACATTTACAAAGGTGGCCATTGCCTCTCCTTTGCCTGTAAACTTTTTGCCATCTTTCTTCAATTCTGGAGGTGGATTAGAATTCTTTGCTACAACCTTCTGTCTAGCAATTTGCCTTTCAACATTGCTAGCCTTGGATACTAATGCGTCGAATGATTGTGGTTCAGCATTACCTACAAATGTGGCAAGCTCTGATAAGAGGTTGTTGATGCACACTTGTATAGCTGAGGTTTCCTTCAATTGTTCAACACATTAAAGGTTCATATTCCTCCAACACGTGATGAACTCATTAACGCTTTTATTTGTTCTTTGTTTAGTTTCAGCCAGGTCTGTCATTGAAAACTTTCTTTTGAAACTAAAAAATTGTGCTAAAAAGGTATGTTGCATGTCATCCCAAGTAATAGTTGATCCTGGCACTAATTGAGTATACCAAGTGAAGACTGCTCCTTTTAATGATTGGACAAACTACCTTATTAGCAAGGCATCTGACATTGCAGATTCACCACAAGCTGAATAGAAATGGGCAAGATGTCCATGAGGAGATCCATTTATCCCATCGAATTTCTCAAAATTTGGCTTTTGATAGCCAGGAAGAAAAGGAAGTGTGTCATAATGGGAAGGATAAGGCTTTCTATATCCCAAAACTAGTGGAGTCAATGATGACTGAAACTCCTTAATTCCTTCTGCAATCAATGCTTTTAAATCCAATTGAGAAGTAGGGGTAGAAGTTGGAATAGACTGTTGTGAAGTTTCCCTAGTGGAAGTGCTAGCTTGAGATGCCAATTGTGCAGGTAAGGATGCAATTTCAGCATCCTTTTTAGCCAGCCTTCGTTGCATCTCTTGGATTTGTTCTTCTAAACTTGAAGTGCCTGTTACAAGAACTGGCAAAGAAATTGATTCTTGATCATCTGCAATGATTACACTCTTCTAAAACTGAGAAGACACTTCTTCCATAGACTCTATGTCTTGAATTAATGATTTAGGATCTTCATACATCGGGTTGCTTTTTTGAACTGTAAACATCCCATCAATTGATTCAGACTATTTGAACTTACACTTGAGGTCTCCTCCCAATTTTGTAATAATCGAGCCTTCGCTCTTGTAATGGGTCCTCTATAGTGTTTAAGTTCTTCGGTGGGCATGGTGTATGCCCTCAACGTGAAAAAGATCTCCACTTGCTTGGCATACATATATCTTGATATGAATGCCCATTTCTTTGCTTCCATATCTTATTTTGATTTTTGTGTTATAAAACCAACAAGTGACATAGAGACTTCAGCTTGAGATTTCTTAGTCTTCGAAGATCTTTTAGACTGGCGAACGATATTAGAAGATTCTCTTGATGCCTCTTTTGTAAGGGGAGAAATTTGATTGAAAACAACTTTCTTTCTACGAAGGATAGAGTCGTTTCCACTTGATGACCCGAGTTCAATAACTCGAGGTTTCAGCTGCAAAGGGATGGAAGCATTTTCATTCTTTTCCTTTAAAACCTCGGTAGGGGTTTTAAAAATAGAGTTTTCTTCAGAGATGGTCACCATCATGACTGGTGCAGTTGGAGGAATGGGTAAATTAATTGGAATGGTACCAATCATGATTTGGGTAGGTGGAATTGTCCTAGCCCTAGGTTTGGTGATCTTAATTGGAGCAGTTACCCTTGATGTTGAGCTCTTCGAGGTTGTAGAAACAACCTTCTTGAGTGGAATAGTTTTAGGAGGCTCAAACCCTATAGCCTTAACAGAGTTAAGCATAGCCTGTACACATAGGCTTCTCCTTACAGGGGTTGTCTTAATGACCTTTTTCTTTTTCTCCTTCTTGATGTTCTTCTCAACCTTAGGAACCGAGGGCAAAGTAATAGCGAGGGGGTTCATTGCCACTATAAAAATTGCCTTGTAGGAAGGTTTCTTCGAGCACTCTGCCTTTCCCTTGTCCGCGGTAGTAAGCCGATGATAATACACAATTACTTTGAGAGCCATGCTTGTTAACATGTGTTATAAAGAAATCAGAAGTCTTTCAATAAAATCAAAGATGAAAGGGAGAATAGGGTCGCACCAGGCATGCCACAATTATGTTTTGATCATAATTCATAAAAAAAGAACTTGAAAAGAATTAGGGTTTCCCTATTCAGGGTGTATAAGTATGCACTATGTCTGCAAAAACCCCTTAATTATATTCCTTGAAGGAAATACCCTTTGATTTTGATTTTATGTGAAAGAGCTACTTTGTAAGGGTTAAACCCAACAACAGGTAGAAACAGTCCCATCAGCTTGGACTCCTAACGGGTTATACCTATGAGTGGGCCCCACAATTGGTAAATAGGTGATGGGACCCATACACCATTGGGTACTTATGTATTTAACCTTATACATCTTAACAGTGAGTCTCGTTAATCAATAAAAAGTGGGACCCACTATACTGATTTGGTGGTGGGCATGACCCACCTTAATATTTTAAACTTAAATATTCTGACAATGGGCCCCATTGACCGATGGGATCCACTAGTTGATTTGATAGTGGGCATGACCCACTTTAACATTTTGAACTTAAATTTTTAGACAGTGGGTCCCGTTGACAGGTTGGACTCACTAGTTTGATTTAATAGTGGGCATGGCACACTTTAATGTTTTAAACTTAAATATTTTGACAGTGGGCCACGTTGATAGGTGGTACCCACTAGGTTGATTTGTTAGTGGGTGTGGCCCACTTTAAGATTTTAAACTTAAATATTTTGACAGTGGGCCCCGTTAACATATGGGACCCACTAGTTTAATTTGATAGTTGGCATGGTCCACTTTAAGGTTTTAATCTTAAATATTTTGACAGTGGGCCCCGCTAACAGGTGGGACCCACTAGTTTAATTTGATAATAGGCATGCCCCACTTTAAGGTTTTAAACTTAAATATTTTGGCAGTGGGCCCCATTAACAAGTGGGACCCACTAGTTTGATTTGATAGTGGGCATGACCCATTTTAAGGTTTTAAACTTAAATATTTTGACAATGGGCCCCACTACTATGTATTGTTTAAATAGTGAGCATGGCCCACTAAACTTAAATGTTCTATTAGTGGGCCCCACCAATAAGTGGAACCCACTATATTGATTTAATAGTGGGACCCATTAACTCATGGTAATTCACAATTGTCAATAGTGGGGGTCAGTTGGCAGCAAACAGTTGGCAAGTGGGGGTCAGTGGGACCCATTAACTAATCGATTGAGTTTTAACCATTTTAGTTTTTATTTAGGTGGTAAAGGTGGATAAAATCCACATCATATGACAATGGGTCCCTCTAACAGTTGGCAGCAAATTGAAAACAATGGGTCCCAAAGATTTATCAAGCAACCCTTCTTGACATTTCAGGGGTTTGCCATTTACAAGTGGCAATATAAGTTGCCACAACAACACATTTGCCACCTTTTTAAGTGGATAAGATCCATTGACAGTGGGACCCAGAGACCTGCCATTTACAAGTGGCAATATTGGCTGCAACAAATAGCAAACCAATACATTTGTCCCCATTTTCAGGTCTGCAACAGTAATACATATATCCCTTTTTTAAGTGGATAAGATCCACTAATAGTGGGACCCAGAGGCTTGCCATTTACAAGTGGCAATATTGACTGCAACAAATAGAAAACCAGTACATATGCGCCTCCCCCCCCCCCCCTATTTCAGGTTTGCAACAATGTTGCAACAAGTGGCAAAGTACTGTTACAGGTGGTAAACCATCACACCTATCCCCTTTTAAGTGGATAAGATCCACTGACAGAGGGACCCAACAGTCTACCATTTACAAGTGGCAATATAAACTACCACAGTAACATGTGTCCCCCTTTTCAATTCTGCAATAGGTGGCAAAGTGCTAAACCAACACACTTGTTCTATTTTAAGTAGATAGTAGTGTGCAACAGGTGGCAAAGTGCTGTTACAGATCAGCACACCTGTTCCATTTTATGTGTATTGACAGCATTGGGTTAACCTACTGAAATACTTTGGCGTGGATAGGATCCACCGAGATATCAGAGGGTCCCTAGATATACATATATATTTAATTTGAAATAAGCTTTTTGAGTTCTAACAGAACTCTAGAGAGAGAGAGAATAAGGATTGAAATAGATAAAATTTTAAAGAGATAGAAGGAAAGAATAAGATTTATACTTTCATAAGCCTATCCTTACACCTCCGTCAGCCGACCTTCAACTTCCCTCCCCTATTCCTTCTCTTCCTCTCTCCTCTCTTTTTTTTCTCTTTCTTTCTTATCTCTCTCCTTTTCTTTCTTCTACCTGCCGACCACCAATTTTCTTCTCCTCTCCCCCTTATATAGAAGGAGATAGTTATGGGAGCAACCTCCCTACCTCTTCATACGTGGGGTGGTTGCTTAACTCCAATCGAAAATTTGAATTTGTTTGGAGTGGGCCAGCTGTCAAAATTGCCCCCCCCTAAGTTTTACTTATTTATATTATTTTATTTTATTTTTTTACATCATATATTTTTAATCATAAACAGTCGCCCAACTCGCTCTCTTGACCCAGTCGAAAATTGGGCGGGACCACAACGAATTTTGAATTTCAAAATTCATAGAAGAGGACACTTAGTGGGTGCGCAAAATTTTTGAATTTGAAATTTCCCACATGTGGCGACTTCATCTCGATAGTTGACCTATCACCAAAGTATCCATGCCGTTCGCCCTTATGCCCAACGGATTATAAGTATGCTCCCCCCCCCGAGGTCCCCACTTACACTCTCTTTGTTTTCTGGAGTGGTGTCCAATTTTGAGGAGGTTGCGGTCGAAGTGCAGTTCGCTTGTCAAGGTTCTGTCAGTCATCGGTACCGGTCTTCTTTGTTCTTTTTCCTGTGAGTAGTCTACCTTTTTCGATGTCTTACAATCCCTCGAGGAGTTGATGAATGATGATGCCTGTGGAGGCAATTTGTGAACAGAAGATGAAATTTGTGAAGAACAAAAAGTTGCAGTAGTTTCCTTACAAGTGCTCTGGTACCAACTACGACACCCATCAAGTAATTTGGTACCAATGATTCAACAACCATCATGATCCCTTCTACAGTAGCAATGCAGCTTAAGAGATTGGTGTAGGTGAACATAAGGTGAGAGAATCCTGGGTGAAGCTTCACCATGTAAAAGGTTATTGAGCCAGTAGCGAGTGACACTGCCAACAAGAAAGGGAATGAGGAGATAGAAATGGATAGGATGAATACTGCATTGCCATAATGCCCGTTGTGCCTTTTGCGATAAAAGACCTGTTTCAAACAGAAAATGAGGCATTAGAGCTTAATAGTACTAGTTCCTTCAATATTTTTTTCTAGTTTCTTCATTGAATTCAGATTACTTGCCTTCATTTCTTCAATGAAAGATGGGAAGCCTCCAACAGATAGGAATGTCATGAAGCCTGTGATGAATGCTGCACTGTTTCCTCTAGCCAGGATTGCAGTATAGCTTGTCCCAACATCATAATACATGGTGCCAACAGCTAATGATACCACAATGTAGATTACTATCCTCACCTAGTAGTATCCAAGATCTCTAGACATGTTAGTGAAGAACCTTCGAGTCAATGTGTAGAGCTGCTTCCACAAGCTAGCCTCACTTCCTCTGATTGATCCAATGACTGGTTTTCCCTGCATTAACATACATTTTTGTTATAAAATCAACTGTTATAACCGCTTGGCTACTCCATGATTTACTCAAATATTAATGAATGAGAGTTTGAAATGCCAACAATGAATGCCAGTTCTCTTATCCGTCTTCTTGTACTTGTTGCATATTCTGATGTCCTATACTTCTCAATAAGGATTCCGTTGATCACTGAACTTGGCAAATTCATCAGGGGATTTGATAATGTCTGCGTGTCCTGCAAGAGAGAGAGAGAGAGAGAGAGAGAGAGAGAGGCCTCACTTTGCCTGGGCAGGATGTGTCAAACACTGTTACATGATCAGATCAATAAAGATTTGCCAACAGAGGTTTCACCAAATTTGGTGAATGAATCAGGTGGTGCAGTCTCAGGAGGGATCACTCAAGGTAAAGAGGTGGGAAAGGTTGCAGAGATGGAATTGGATTCAGTTACTGCAGAAGAAAAAGAGCCCCAGCAACCAGTTTCAAATAATTCAATGGTTGAAACTGGAGCGAAGACAGGTTTATAATATTAGAGCTTAGGTAGTTGTGAAAGTTGATAAATTTACAAATTGCATATTTGGATATTTTTAGGAGCTTGGATGCTGCATAGAAGGCCTTGACTATGTTTCAGCAAGCAGTATTTCTAATCATGTTTCTTCTTTATGTTTTCATCCATCTTATGATTTCTCATGGATTTTCTTGCCAAAATCACACAATAGTTTTATAGTAAGATTAGTAAAATCATCCAACACCCAAACCATTCAATCTCAATATCCATTCTCTGGTTTGGTGGGATTTCTCAAAATGTGGCTGATACTATATACTTATCTGATGCAAGTATGCAGCAGAAATGCATAAAATTATGTAAAGAAATATAAAATACATGAAGCATCACCAATTAACTGACTGAGAATCCTTTAACCTGGAAAACATGGTTGGGCATACAATAGAGCTTAGGAGGGCTGATAAGATTTATGAGTTGAGTGATGGAGTTCAGTACAGTATGTTCTGAGTTTCTATTGAAATCAGGCTGGGAGTAAGAGGTAAGTACACGTTGGTTTTGGGCAGCCAGCTAGGTTTTATGGACAGGAGCAAGAAAATTCACATGGAAAAGAAAATAAACGATTGTTAGAAAAATAGTACAGGAACTATTTCTGCTAGAGCAGCTCTAGTCTTGAGCAAGTAAAGCTGTACCATTGAACTATGCATGTATACTTAATAGCTTGATGTACCTTTCTTTTAATATTAGAGCCCATAATCCTGTTTCAGCTGTGAGTAACCTCCACATTTGTTTAGTGAACATGTTTTTATTGAACTCCCCTAATCTTCTGAAGCCTAGACACCCATTCTGTCTTGGTCTGCAGACTTTCTCCCAAGCAATTGTATGGATGGATCTTTCTGGATTAGAACCTTCCCAGCAGAATCTTTTTTGTAAACTGTCAATTTGGTTTATTGCTTTTTTGGACAGAAGGGAGGTTTCCATGATGTAATTGGGTATAACTTGAATGACTGATTTTATTAATGTAGTTCTTCCAGCCTGTGACAGTTTCTTTGCTTTCCAGTTAACTAGCTTGGTGTTAATTTTATCAAGGATTTCTTTATGATTGCTTGTATCTCTCCCTTGAAACCAGATTTTTGCTCCCAAGTATTTTTCTTGAACTTTCATGTGTGACATTTAGAGTAATTGTAGTAAAAAATTTCTTTTTCTTCTGTGAACTCCATTGTTGAACTCAGCTCCAGATTTTTGCAGATTTATTCTCTCCCCTGACATTTCCTAAAAAATTTTCAGGATCTCTTTTATTTTTCTTACCTGATTTGGTCCAGCCTTCACATGATTAAACAATCATCTGCAAACAGAAGGCGGGTGATTGGGGTCCCACCTTTGATTAATTTGAAACCCTCTGTTCTTTGCTCAGCTATGTTCAACAGATTCGATAGGCCCTGCATTGCAATTATGAATGGGCCACCCTGTCTAAGGCCATTTGGAAAGTCAAAGAAAAGCATAGGAAGTGTACACCTCATGTTAAGTCTCCATGCAAGTTTTAGTAAAATGCAAATCAAGATTCTCTGATAATGCAATAAAGCATAGGAAAAGTGCTCATATACTTGAGGTGTATACCTCTTGTATGGAGGCATATATAAAGCACTGTTATATGGATAAGGGCACAGGGTTGGGAATTTGACACATGTATCGGAGTCTGACTTGCAGATGGTTTTGGAGATTCTCCACAGAACTGAATTCTTTGGAGAAAGATTATAGTGGAGAAATATGGCTTAAGTAGAAATGGTTTTGGAGATTATATTGTTGCAAATTCTTGGCCTTCCTGAGCAGAATGTATTGTGGAAGCACATTGAAGGGGATCGACGCTACTGTGGTTCAAATGCAGAAGTTACTACCCTTGCATTCCAGTATGTTTGCAAAGTTGGGATGATTATAAAAAGGTCAGCATATAAATTGGATCTGGAGGTTCAAGCTAGTATTCACTTATGGGTTGAACACAAGAAGAAACCTGTATTCTTCCATCAGGATTCTACTGAAACAGATCCTTTCATTTTGATTCAAACATAATGGTAGTTGCAAGTTGCAACACATTATCTGTTTTCTATATCATGGTCTTATGGCATGTGAGATTGCTTTCTTTAGTGCCTGATCCCATTATGGAATGAATAGAAAATCATTGACAGCTGTATGGCCTAACATGTTATTGAATCAACTCAAGGGATGGGTGGATAGCAATTCATTAAGGAAAATAAGAGAGTTGAATAAGTGTAACCGAATGGCTTATTGGTTTATCTTTTAGGCTTAATTTAGTTTGGTAACAGTACAAGTACAAATATGTACAGTCACCTCACCTATTTAATGATTTATTCACTGAATGTCTTATTGCCACTTACGAGTCTCCTTCTACATCATGTTTGGGGAATAGCCAATTCTAAGTCTATGTAACAAGGATAGTATTTCTGCCTTTATTGCTTCTGCCTCTCCAAGAAGGCCAGAAAATGCTTTAATCACCTCTCCCTTGTTCTTGAAAAGTCGTCCTGAAGCTTCAGTATTGATGTTGCATGCAGTGAGAAGTATAGTTTAGTCAGATATTAGCTCAGCAAAGGTGTTCTAGTTCTTTGTTCCATTTCTGGGAACTTAAGAAGGAAGTATAGTTTAACCACCTCTCCCTCCCTCGCTCTCTCTCTCTCTCTCTCTCTCTCTCTCTCTCTTCTTTTTCGATGGTCGTGTGAAGTGATAAACCCAGTAAAGTTTGTCTGTTATCTGGTTAAAAAATGTTTGTTCTCTGCTTCATACTCTTGCATACCCCCCCTCC